TGTGAAACCATCCTTATATAAAAGGTATAAAAAATTTAAATATCAGGATTTTTTAGATGAAAAAGGTGACATGAATGCAAAGGACATTCTAAATGACAAAGATCTAGAAATGACTTGGTGGGAAAAGAGGCAATTAATATCATGTTGGATGTCAGATAAAAAAAAGGGTTTTTATGATACATTAACGGAATTAGATAAAATATGGACAGGAAGCGAAATGAAGTTTATAAAAAAGGCGTATAACTATTGGTTAGAATGGAAAATGCAAGACGAAGAGGTTAAACCATCAATGATTGCATGGGCCAGAGATATAGGCCATACGTTGTTGCTAGAGCAATGGGAAAAGGTTTGGGAAAAAAATATAAAATGGGTTAGAGCAACCTCATATAAGGAGAACATTATAAAAATGTTTTATCGATGGCACATATCTCCAGTTAGACTGAATAAATTTGACAAAACAATTGGGAAAGTATGTTGGAAATGTAAACAAAGGGATGGAACCTTTTATCATCTATGGTGAAAATTTTATAGGTGGATAAAACTGATATGATAACGAAAGTTAAACATAAGGCATGTAAGATAATTAAGTTCTTAAAATTATGGGTACTGTTTGATTTATTAGAATTTTGTATTATAGAATAGTTGGAATGAAGTGTTCTAGACTTGATAAGAAAAGTGAAGGCAATACTAATGATATGATGGGAAGAACTCTGCACAAGTTGATGTAAATATGAGTAACAATGGTTATTGTTATTAGATTTGGTGGAAAAATGAATAAAGAAAATATTAAAAAAAAAAAAAGTTATGCTAACAAGCGCCTGCACCTCTTTTTCTACGAAATGACCCCTGCTCACGGGTACACGGGACAGGCGTTCTGAGCGGTGGCGCTGAGACCATCAAACTCCCGAGCCAGGGAAGTCCATTCCGTTCCATCCCTCCCAGCCTTCTGGCCCATGGCTGGAAAAAACGTTTTCCCAACCATCAGGGGCACTGAGGCTGATGCTGCATTGGCTTTTCCCTCCGTTGTTTTACCAAACCCACACTGGAACAGAAAAGGTACAGCTCAAAACCACATTCAGATACCCCAGGGCAACACAGCACTGACTGCGAAGTCACCCCGAATGGCCATAAGTTGATGCAGAAGGTACCGTAAAACCCGATGAGCAAAGAAGGTGAAAGCGGCGTGCAGTGTAGAGCAGGGGTGTCGAACTCATTTGTTATGAGGGCCAGATCCGACATAAACGAGACCTGGTTGGGCAGGGCCGCACGTATCATAAAAGGTAATGCCAGGTAGCGGAGGTATAAACTTTGAAAAGGACACAGACACAAAGATTTTTTTAAAAACTTAAAATAAAAAACATGTTTAAAACATTAGCTCTGTAAGCGGCAAACCTACTTTTGATTTGTTGACATTCACTACAAGAAATTTCATGGCTCAGCCTTCTGAGTCTAGGACCCAGGTTAAAACATGAAATGGCTGAGCGACTGAGAGAGTCTGGCAAAGCAAGCGATGATGCAGCAGCAGCAGCAGAATTGGAAGCAGGAGATGGCCAGTTCCACCGCGGGCCTGATGGAAGCCCTCCGGGGGCCTCATCCAGCCCCCAGACTGCATGTTTGACACCCCCGGTGTAGAGGGTACCATAAAATCCAATGATCAAAGAAAAAGACAGCAGCATGCAATGCAGAGGGGAATTTCTGTTCCAATATGGGTTTGGTATAACAACGGTGGGAAAAGCCAATGCAGAATCGCCCTGACTTGAGTGCTCCATCGACCTGGACAGCTATGTTTTCTACGCTGCTGCGCCTTGAGATTAGATTTTTTGTTGAGTTAGCTATTACTGATGTCCTTCTTTGAGATGACTGTTCAGAATGGTTTCCGTGTTTTAGTGGTGTTGGCTGTTTCAAGGGTCAGTAGATCGATAAGAAGGGGTAGAAGTCTACCAATTCATTCTGCTAACGCTGGTGCTTCCCTTTGGTGCAGAGGCTCTTGTATCGACAGGACATTCCCAGCATGCAAAGGAAGTGCTGCAGTTAGCAAAAGAGACCTGCGGGATTCTGCCTGACGTTTTTCCCCCTAGAAACAGACTAAGGGAAAAACAAACCAGGAGAATCTTTTCCTCTGTAAACTGAACCTGAACTATGCAAACAACAACAAAATGAGAGAACAGAACCCCCCAGAGTAAGCAGCCAAATGTTGTCCTTGTTCAGCTGTACAGTCAAGTCCGACTCTTCGCGACCCCGTGGACCACATCACGCCAGGCCTTCCTGTCTTCCGCTGCACTCCGGAGTTTGCTCCGGAGCGTGTCCAGAAGAGGGCGACCAGGATGGTGAGAGGGTTTGGATCCAAGTCTTACAAGGAAAGGCTGAAAGAGTTGGGTCTGTTTAGCCTGGGAAAGAGAAGGCTTAGAGGGGACATGATTGCGGTCTTCAAGTATCTGAAGGGCTGTCAAGTAGAAGATGGAGCAGATCTATTCTCTCTTGCTCTGGATTGCAAGACTAGATCGAACGGGTGGAAATTCCAAGGGAGTCGTTACCGGCTAAATATCAGGAGAAACTTCCTAACTGTAAGAGTGGTTGAGCAGTGGAACAGACTGCCTTGGGAGGTGGTGGAAGCTTCTTCGCTGGACGTTTCCAAGCGGAGGCTGGACGACCATCTTTCGGGTATGTTGTAGGGCTCTCTTTCGGCTGTGCTCCTGCCGAGTGCAGGGGGTTGGACTAGATGACCTGCAAGGTCCCAGTTCCAACTCTAACATTCTATGATTCTATGAATTTAAGCAGCCAAATACTATCATGTTAACAAAATGCTCCTATGTTTTGAGGTCTTTTGTTTTCCACCTCATCACAATTCTCCATTTGAGCAGCTCCCACTTTCTTTTTCTGGTGGTGAAAAGGGCCATCTAGTCACAGCTGACTCAGGGCGACCCCTGGTGGGGCTTTCAGAGCAAGGGACGCCCAGAGGTGGCTTGCCATGGCCTGCCTCTGTGTCACGACTCTGGTATTCCTTGGAGGTCGCCCTTCCAAGTATTCGCCCGTGCCGACCCTGCTTCGCTTCTGAGATCTGATGAGACTGAGCTAGCCTGGGCTATCCAGGTCGGGGCCTTCTCCTCCCACCCTTCCTTATATGTTAAATCCACTCTGTAAACCCCGAGGAGAGGCCTTGTCTTTGAAAACACCCACTGAAATTGCCAGCTGTTGAGACCTCTGTAAGTTGATGGTATTCCCTTCCTACCTTTAATTCCAATATTTACTTTTCATTTTCATTGTACATGAACTATTCTGAAGGAAATGATTAGTCTGGTTTACCTTTTAGGTCGTACAGTGCAAAGTATGATTCTTCTGGGGCAAGGGATGCACTGGTGCAAGTGATGCTCTGTATTCTTGGTGCTTGGGGGGTGGGGCAACAGTGGGAGGGCTCCTAGTGTCCTGGCCCCACTGTTGGACCTCCTGACGGCACCTGGTATTATTGGCCACTGTGTGACCCAGAGTGTTGGACTGGATGGGCCATTGGCCTGATCCAACATTGGCTTCCCTTATGTTCTTATAACAGGGAATTGGATGAACATATGGAGCACAGGTCCATCAGTGGCTATTAGCCACAAGGTATAGAGAGGAACTCTCAGACTGGGGCAAGGGATGCTCTGTCTTCTTGGTGCTTGTGGGGGGCAAGAGTGGGAGGGCTCCTAGTGTCCTGGCCCCACGGGTGGACCTCCTGATGGCCCCTGGTATTTTTGGCCACTGTGTGACAGAGTGTTGGACTGGATGGGCCACTGGCCTGATCCAACACTGGCTTCTCTTATGTTCTTATAAGAGGGAATTCTGTATTCTTGGTGCTTTGGGGGGGCAACCGTGGGAGGGCTTCTAGTGTCCTGGCCTACTGCTGGACCTCCTGATGGCACCTGGTATTATTGGCCACTGTGTGACCCAGAGTGTTGGACTGGATGGGCCAATGGCTTCTCTTATGTTCTTATGTTCTCTTACAGATGTTGTAGCTCCGTGTCCCTTACATTTATCTGTTGATAGTTAACCTGCCTTACTAGGCATTATATTGTAACCTAATGCCTTTAGGTTCTCATGCAGTTATGCCACTGTCATTTATATATGTACTTTAATAATATTATAAAATTTTGAATTTGTTTTAAAGAAGAAGAAGAGATTGGATTTATACCCCGCCCTTCACTACCCAAAGGAGTCTCAGAGTGGCTTACACACTCCTTTCCCTTCCCCTCCCCACAACAGACACCCTGTAAGGTAGGTGGGGCTGAGAGAGCTCTTGACAGAAACTGCTCTTTTTCAAGAACAGCTCTTATCAGAACTACGGCTTGCCCAAGGTCATCCAGCCAGGTGCAAGTGGAGGAGTGGGGAATCAAACCTGGTTCTCCCAGATTAGAGTCTGTGCATTTAACCACTACACCAAACTGGCTGGAGAGGCCTTGCGGGACTTCTGGGACCATACGGGTCACGGCTGGTCCGAAACATCTACCTTTCTTTCCTGATGATGAAACTACACTGCAGAAGTCTTTTGACACTTTACGCCACTTGATCCGTGGCAATTATTCATATGTACCCTGCGGGCAGGCTGTGCCCGTCTAGTTAGAAATTCCTGGATGATACCACAGAACCTGTTCCTGCAAAGGGTAGACTGCACTGGCTATGGATTTCTATACATTTCTGTTCACAAATAATAATATATAATAATAATCACACACACACAAACCAAGGAGGAAACGCTTCTCCCTCTCTCACTATACTAGCTGCAAGGGAGGTGGTCCCTGGTGCTGTGAAAACCACTCGCCGCTGGTTTGGGAGAGACGAAATGATGAAAGGAGCATAAAATCAACTCAGGGAATGCGCTGGTACAAGCTGTGGGAACGGCCACTTGCCAAGATGGCTTAAAAAAAAGGTTTAGACACATTTGTGGAGAACAGTCCTACCAAGGCTATTAGCCGGTAGTGAAATGGGATCCCCCCGCCGCCCCCGCCAACGTTGAGGACACGTGAGCAGAGAAGGGCTGTCACCCTGACGTCTTCATTTATACCCCACTGCTCTCCCCAGCGGGGACCTGAAAAAGCCAGGGCCGGCTCACCCGCTAGGCGAACTAGGCATTCGCCTGGAGTGCGGGCCGGCCCTGGCCCCTTAGGGGCGCCAAACAGAACCCAGCCTCCCCCCCGCCAAAGCCCCAGCTCCCACCAAAAGCCCACATGCTGCCCAGAAACCCTGCCTCTTCCCGCCTTTCCCCAAAGACTGCCGGCGGGCCCACCTTGCGCCTCCCCTCAGGCAGCGCCCGAGCGCATGTAGGCTCACTGTAGCCTGGCTCAGTCGTGGTGGTGTGTACACGGGCACGGCGTTACCGGCAAGTGTGCCCACCCACCGCCCGTGGGGGGGGGGAGAACGCACTCCTCCTAGGTTCTGCAGACTGCAGTCTTCCAAAGAAGCAGCGGAGCCCCCTTCCCGCTCCCCACCACCTCCCAGACGTCTTCTCCACACACGCATCCAGCCCCTCGCTCTCCTTGTTCCCCCCTCACCTCCAGGCTGCTCAGAGCTGAGAGTGCGCTCTTGCGCCGGGCTGTTGGCCCCGCGCAGCTTCCCTCCTCTCCAAACCCCCTGCTGCTGGTTTCCTTGTGCGTCGGCCAGTAGCGCCCCGACGACTCATTATGGCCCCTCCAGGCGGTCTTCCTCTTCCGTGGGTGAGTTGGGGGCTGGGGCTCGTGTTGCAGCCGACGTGGCTTCTTTGGGGTCTGGCTCCATGCCCAGGGGCAGTGGCAGGGCGGTCCCGACTGGCATCAGCATCTCCAGAGATGCGTCACCATTGGGACAATCAGAAACTGGAGGAAGGGGGGAGCAGGCTGGGAGCGGAGGAGAGGCCTCTTCATTGCCGAATCCCTGCAAGCTCTCCTCCCTTCTCTCCAGGACCTGCCTGGAGGTTGGCAACCCCTTAATTAATGGGTGCGCCGGGGGGGGGGGCGCGGCAGAAGGTAGCCCCGCCTAGGTTGCAAAAAAACCTCGGGCCGGCCCTGGAAACAGCTTACAAAATGCATCTTCTCTCTTGTTTCGAGAGCTTTCAAATTTAATTTTTTTTATTGTTTCAACTTAATACAATAATACAACAATACTATTCAGTAGTTAGGATAAGCATAAAGTTAGTTATTACCACTCATTAATCGTCACAGATACAATTGTTCAAGATCTTTTCTTCTTACCAAATTAGGAGTTACCTAGCATAATATTCAAAAATATAACAGCTCTCGGTAATGCTTGTTTGTCGGGATAATTCCACTTTCCGACAGATAACGGACTACAGGAAACCAGATGGCTTGGAATGATTTCTGGTGAGCTGCGAGATTCCGAGAGCTTTCAGAGGCATATCTGTTTGCCCACTGCTGGGTGACAAAAACTGGGCTAGACTGACCTTCGTTTCTTCCACGAAAGCAGTTATCGTGTCTGCTCAGAATACCCACGGTGCACAACGGCCACATGTCCACGTCTCTTTATTGGACTGTGGGCAGAGGCCAAAATTTGATAAAACAAATAAATAAATACAATTGCTGCTGAGGGTTTCACGTGTCCCCTACCGCCATCACCTGGCTCGCTATGGAGGACCCCTGCTTTAATGAGCAGCTGCTTTGGGGCCTACGATGCACACACTTACAGGGCTCTTTTTGTAGAAAAAGCCCAGCAGGAACTCATTATCATAATAAGCCACACCCAACAGCAGAAACTCATTAGCATATTAGGCCACACCCCTGATAGGACAGCTCATTAGCATATTAGGCCATACCCCCATGTTACCAGAAGTGTGGTCATCCAGCCACACCCACCTTTTGCTTCTTATTCTGTTTACCTTGTTTGTTGTCAAAACCCGGGGCCTTTTTTTGTAGCAGGAACTCCTTTGCATGTTAGGCCACACACCCCTAATGTAGCCAATCCTAATGGGTTCCTGCTGTTGGGTGTGGCCAATTATGCCAATGACCTCCTGCTGGGCGTGGCCAACTCAGGAGCCAGCCAGAACTCTGTTCCTGTGCGTTCCTGCCCAAAAATAGCCCTGCACACACACACAAACATGGCTCACACGAGAAACCGCAGGCCTCTCAACACTCACATGATGGTAGAGTTCAGTTCCTCGATTTCTTCCCGGAGGCGCTTGGCTTCCTCCTGGACCTGAGATCTTTCCTGCTGCAGCTTTGCAATGTACTCCACCGTCTTCTGGAGGGTGAGGGCGTGGCTGAACTGCGGCAGAGAAGAGAGGACCCACACGGAGCTCATCAGCGCGAAAGTCGGGTCACCCCTTGCAAAGCTCAGGGCACCAAAAGGGAAAAGGATCAGGAACCACTGGGAGAGGTGTGTAGGTATACGTACGCCGCGTTTCTGCGGGAGTGCAGAAACCCACTGAATGTGATAAGGGGCACACTTTCCCGAGAATCCCAGATTAAATTTAACCCCCCCACACATGATTTTAATGCTTGTAAAGGCAGGGGTCATTTCCTGCAGGAGCACACAGGAGCGGAGCTCCGGCAGTAAAGGGCCCAGGGGGCGGGCACATGCAAGAAGCCCCCCCCCCGCTCCCAGCAGCCCTCAGTCAGAGCAAGAAGCAGCCAGATAAGCTGCAGAGCTCCCCCCGGCCCAAAACAGTCCAGTGGCACCTTTAAGACCAAGTTTTATTCAGGTACAAGCTCTCCCTCCTTTGTGAGGACAGATTTGCACATCTCACCCCCCCCCCATTAGCTAGCAATCCAAAACAGTCCAGTGGAGCCTGAGTGGTGGGTGTTGCCTTCTGACACACACTTACAGTGATGTCAGGGTGTGTGGCGTATGCAAATAAGTTTTGCTAATGAGCTCCTGCACCTTTTTTCCTACGAAATGACCCCTGTGTAATGGTATGCTTCAAAGGGTGTGAGCAATGGCAGATGGAATTGCAGAACCCAGCCCCACACAATTTCAACCAGTTAGAGGTTCAGTGCCCTGAGAGTCTTTGCCCTTCCCACAGCTAGAAAAAAACAGGAGTCTGCGGTACAGTAAAACCGGCAGAACAATTTCTTCTGATTGCAGAACTGAGCTTCTTTGGTGCAGAATTTAAATCACGGAAGACGCACTGCACGGAACGACTTTGAGAAGGTACAGGGGGAGAGGAGAAACCCCTCTTTCTGAATGCAGAGAGCAAGGTCCTGCCAACCCCACTTACTGATTTAGAGTTGATCGACACCAGGGAATTCAGGGTGCTAAAGCCAATCTTGATATTAAACCTCCGCTTCTGTTCTGCCGAAATATGCTTCATCCGCCGGGTCTGTCCGAATAAAAACAGAAGTGAGTTCTTTGGCTGGTTTGGGGTTTCTGCCTCTTGGTGGGCATGACGGGTGTGTGTGTGTGTTAGAGGCTGTTGCGTGATACGATGTAGTGGGAGAATACAGGGCTTTCCCACACGTAAAGGGACGCTGCTGTGGGACACAGCGCTCCTTTGCTCCCACGGGGCCAACTTTTTGCTGAAGTGGAAGAAGAAGAGATTGGCTTTATACCCCACCCTTCACTACCCAAAGGTGTCTCAGAGCGGCTTACAAACTCCTTCCCCTCCCCACAACAGGCACCCTGCAAGGCAGGTGGAGCTGAGAGAGCTCTGACAGAAACTGCTCTTTTTCAAGAACAGCTCTTATCAGAACTACGGCTTGCCCAAGGTCATCCAGCCAGGTGCAAGTGGAGGAGTGGGGAATCAAACCCGGCTCTCCCAGATTAGAGTCCACGCACTTCACCACGACACCAAACTAGAGGCTAAATGCTGAGAGCTGCCAGGGCTGGGCAACATGTACACACACACACACTCTGTAGCAGCTGCAGTGGGCGGGATCAGTGCCTCAGGGCCCAGACAAGGCAACTGGAGTGCAGCATCCTTTTCTCAGCCCCACCCCTCCCACACCATGCAAGGGGAATGTCACCTTGTGCCAATAATGCGTCAACCAAAGGAAGAAAGGGCGAAAGAACAGACCTTAAAAGCGGTCACCTGAGGGTCAGCCATGGTCTTCCCTGAGCAGCTGTTCTGGGGGGACTGAGGACTGGGACTGTGCTCGGAGGCGCAAGGGGACGCCTGCCCCGACGGCTGGCAGTCTCTGCCTGAAACAGAGAGACAGACACAGACAAGTGTGGTCCGAGGGGGATTCTCTATAGCAAATCAACGCCCCAAGCTAACTGGCTCCTTCCCAGGTCAGGAACTCAGGATATCTGTGGATGTTCTGGAAGGGAGGCTTGTTTGCCAAGTGTTCCCTCTAAGATGAGTGAGTGTGAGCTAGGTCACAGTTCTTTAGCCTCTGGCTCACACATTTTTGTCTTCGCTCAGGGAGGATGAGGCTCCAGAGCAAACTAATCTATGCAGTAGCCAAATGGCTCTCTCACAACTTTAATGCCAGGAGCTCAGCAAGTAGGATTTCTGCTCACAAGACTCCACAGCTTAGAGGGAGCATCGGCCACCAGTATCTGAAGGAGAGAGCTGGGGGGGGGGGGGGGGGGGGGGATACAAGCCTCCAGCCGGCTGGTCCCGAAGTCCGCTGGGCGACCTGGGGCTGGTCACTGTCGCCGACCAAACAACCTGAGAGGGAAAATCATTCGAGTCCCGTCAGTCTACTGCTTCAGAGCAACATGGCTACCCGCCTGAATCTTCTTGAGAGGGTTGTCGCGGGGACAAAATCTATGTCACCCCGAGACCTTATAAAAAGGGGCCTGGCACCCTCCGGCCACATCAACCTCTCTCTCTCTCTCTCTCTCTCTCCTTCCTCCCCTGAAGGGCCCTGAAACCCGAAAGGAAGCATGCGCAGGCTGCCCAGGAGACAATGGGCCGGGCTGGGTCGGAGGGTGGGGAGCTTCTGCCCACCTCCACAATCCATTTCTGGTACAGGGAACTCCACGCAGTCAGTGCCTGGCTGGGTGGGCAAGCTGCCTGGAAGGACCACGTTCTCCTGGTCTCAGTGCGGTCCTGGCAAACCCAGTGGTGACGCCGACCAGAACATCGCCGTCAGAAGAGGCTTCTGCTGTCTCCCTCCCTCCTGCGTCTCTCTCAGCTGTCCCCCCCCCCCCCCACATGTTTCTGGTCCCGTTTTTAATATATCAGAAGCCACCTCGGAGACCCACTGACAGATAGGCGCGGTGCAAATCTTTAAATCAAAATCAGAACCGGCTGCTCTGCAGCTTGCACTCTGCTTTTCCGGAACGCGTTAATTTGGGCAAACGAACACACGCGTGAGGACAACCAGCCTCGACGCCCCCCCCCCTGCAGACCACTGTTCCCTCTAAGCCGAGTTAGTGTGCGCTAGCTCACAGTTTTTTAGCCTCCAGCTCACACATTTTTGTCTCAGCTCAGGAAGGAGGGCTTCCGAGCAAACCAATTTAATGCAGTAGCCAAATGGCTGGCTCACAACTTTAATGCCGGTAGCTCACAAAGTAGAATTTTTGCTCACATGACTCCACAGCTTAGAAGGAACATTGGTGCAGACCCCGGGAAGTAAATGCATTTCTACCGTCCGTGTGGGGCTCTGCCGTAGGAGACCGGGGCTGAGAACAAGAAAAGAATAAGCCAGCCCTGGCCCAGATAGCCCAGGCCGGCCCGATCTCGTCAGGTCTCGGAAGCAAAGCAGGGCCGACCCTGGCAAGTACTTGGATGGGAGACCTCCAGGGAATACCAGGGCCGGGAAGCCAGAGACAGGCTATCAAGCCACTTCTCTGAACATGCTCTGTGCCCCAGTAGGAGTCCCCCGAGGTCGCCATGACGTCCAGGCACGGGCACACACACACAAATGCACAAATACCGAAAAAGGAAGATGACGAAGAGAGCAAGCCTTTCCTCACCCCGGCAGATCCCCGGATGGGTGCCTCCTTCTACTTACTGGGGACAGGCGAGGGGACCTGGGGGCAGGCCGTGCGGGGGAGGGCCTGCTCGCCTTTCACCAACGCCTCCTGCCTGGCACTGGGAGAGAAGAGATGTGGGATGATGGCGGGGCCGGGCTGGGGGCTCGGAGACGGCTGGCCCGGGCTGAGCAGAATGCTGCCGTGGAATTCGGTCGCTTGGGGTGCCTGGGGAGAGAGGGCAGAGGGCAGGGAGTGCCAGGCGTCTCGCGGGAACCGTCAACATGCCGTCTCCCACCCGTCCACAGAGAGAGAGAGAGAGAGCAAGAGAGAGAGCGAGACAGAGAGAGAGAGCAAGAGAGAGAGACACACACACACAGAGCAAGAGAGAGAGACAGACAGACAGACAGACTGAGAGAGCAAGAGAGAGAGAGAGTGAGAGAGAGACCCAGAGAGAGAGTGAGAGAGAGACCCAGAGAGAGAGAGAGAGACAGACAGACAGAGAGAGCAAGAGAGAGAGAGAGAGAGACAGAGCGAGAGAGAGAGCGATAGAGAGTCTCCGGCTTACTCTGGCCAGAGAGAGAGCGCGAGAGAGAGCGCGAGAGAGTCTCCGGCTTACTCTGGCCAGTCCCGATGGGGCAATGACCACGCTGGGCTGGGAGATCCGTGGGGCCAAAACGCTCTCTCTCTTCAGGGGGGCTGGAGTGACAATCACAGCTCTGGCCTGTCCCTGGAAGGCAGCTGAGAAAGAGAACGGGAGTTAACGCCGGGCAAGGAAAGAGAAAGGATGCATCCCAGGGAAGAAGCTTCCGGTGATGGTCCAGGCAAGTGTTTCCCAGCCGACCCTCAATGACGTAAGAGATCCAATGTCTAACGGAACTGACTATTATTTTATTTGTTTGATTTGTATCCCACCCTCCCGGCTGAAGCAGGCTCAGGGCGGCTTACGAGGATAACATAAAACGATTATAACAAAGATAAAACCATCCAAAAGCAGTTTAAAACAGGGGTGTCTAACTCATTTGTTATGAGGGCCGGATCTGACGTAAATGAGACCTTGTTGGGCCGGGCCACATGCGTGTCATAAAATGTCATGCCAGGTAGCGGAGATATGAACTTTATAAAGGACACAAACACAAAGGGTATTTTTTTTACTTAAAATAAAAGCATGCTTAAAAGATTAGCACTCTTGCAATATTTTGTTCCTCATCAAAGGCTCCTAAGGAAGCTCAAAAATCATGGGATAGAAGGACAAGTCCTTTTATGGATCAAAAACTGGCTAGTTCATAGAAAACAGAGAGTGAGTGTAGGTGGGCAATTTTCTCAGTGGAGGGTGGTAAGCAGTGGGGTACCGCAGGGATCAGTACTTGGTCCACTGCTTTTTAACTTGTTCATTAATGATTTGGAGATGGGAGTAAGCAGTGAAGTGGCTAAATTTGCGGATGATACAAAGTTGTTCAGGGTGGTGAAAACCAGTGAGGATTGTGAGGCACTCCAAGGGGATCTGTCAAGGATGGGCGAGTGGGCGTCAACATGGCAAATGGGGTTCAATGTGGCCAAGTGCAAGGTGATGCACATTGGAGCCAAAAATCCTAAATATAAATACACATTGATGGGGTCTGAACTGGCAGAGACTGAGCAAGAGAGAGATCTTGGAGTTGTAGTGGATAACTCACTGAAAATGTCGAGACAGTGTGTGACTGCAATAAAGAAGGCCAATGCTATGCTGGGGATTATTAGGAAGGGTATTGAAAACAGATCAGCCAATATAATAATGCCCCTATATAAATCAATGGTGAGACCTCATTTGGAATACTGTGTGCAGTTCTGGGCACCACACCTTAAAAAGGATATTATAGCTTTGGAAAAAGTGCAGAAAAGGGCAACTCGAATGATAAAAGGGTTGGAACACTTTCCCTATGAGGAAAGGTTAAAGCGCTTAGGGCTCTTTAGCTTGGAGAAAAGACGACTGAGGGGTGACATGATCGAGGTTTATAAGATTATGCATGGGAAAGAGCAGGTAAAGAAAGAGGTACTTTTCTCCCTTTCTCACAATACAAGAACTCGTGGGCACTCCATGAAACTGCAGAGCGGTCGGGTTAGAACGGATAAAAGGAAGTACTTCTTCACCCAAAGAGTGATTAACACATGGAATTCACTGCCACAGGAAGTGGTGGGTGCTACAAGCATGGACGGCTTCAAAAGGGAATTAGATAAGCATATGGAGCAGAGGTCCATCAGTGGCTATTAGCCACAAGGTATAGCTAGGGGCTCTGGGGCAAGTGATGCTCTGTCTTCTTGGTGCTTGGGGGGGGGGTCAACAGTGGGAGGGCTTCTAATGTCCTGGCCCCACTGCTGGACCTCCTGATGGCACTGGTATTCCTGGCCACTGTGTGACACAGAGTGTTGGACTGGATGGGCCTTTGGCCTGATCCAACATTGGCGTCTCTTATGTTCTTATGTTCTTATAAGATTAACAGTGTCTGATAACTGACACCTCTTGCTCTGAATTATTGCATCAGAATGTCTGTGCTGTTGCAATCTTGAGTATGCTGTCCAGGTGTGTCTCTGTAAGCTGCAAACCTACGATGCTGCTGCAGCAGCAGAACTGGAAGAAGAAGCAGAAGCCAGCCAGTTCCACTGCGGGCCTGATAGAAGCCCTCCAGGGGCCTGATCCAGCCCCTGGGCCGCATGTTTGACACCCCTGGTTTAAAACATAAAGCGCTAGCTAGTTGTAACTCATACTCTAGGGATGGCAGCAATGGTTACTTTAGTCTTCGGTTCTCGATCTTTGCCGTATGTATACGACTGGTGCAGGCTGTAACAGTGGAGTCGGGCGTCTTTTTAATAGTGATGTAGATGATGATGGTGGTGGTGGCGGTGGCGGCTCCCTAATCGAAGGCCTGGTGGAAGAGCTCCGTCTTGCAGGCCCTGCAGAACAGGTCCTGCAGGGCCCTGATCTCTTCTGGGAGCTCATTCCACCAGTACAGAGTCACCACCGAGAAGGCCCTGGCCCTGGTTGTTGTCCGTCTGACGTCTTTAGGGCCTGGGAGGGTCAATCGATGTTGTGACCCTGAACGCAGTGCTCGCTGGGGTACATATGGGGAGAGGCGGTCCCTCAGGAATGTCGGTCCCTGACCGTATAGGGCTTTAAAGGTAAGAACCAGCACCTTGAAGCGAACTCGGAAGGCTATTGGCAGCCAGTGTAATGCCTTGAGCACTGGCTGGATGTGCTCCCGCATAGGGAGGCCCATCAGGAGCCTCGCCGCTGCATTTTGCACTAGTTAGTAGTACAATTCCCATTTACAGTTGAGGAAGGATTATTGGGATATATGTCTATGTAGTGAGGTAGCAAGCTGTTACTATATGTGTGTATAGATCAGGAAGATCTAGGTGCCTAAGTCTTAGCTGTCATGCTAAGTGGCTAACACTGTTACAGCCAGGTGTTTAACGAGCAGGCGCTACTCTTTGTGGTCATTAGGAGTAGGTAATTAGTTTGCCCTGATAGTCATTGGCTGGGTGTTGTATATAATGTCTAAGCTTGATAAGCCAAGGGGGGGGGGGCATAGTTCTCTCCAACCGAGGTATGTTATGCTGTGTAACAGTCTGTATATTCTCTGTATATAGTTACCATTATTGCACTATAAACTTTCTGCCTTTCACCACCAGTTGGTCTCCAGGCTTCTTATTTACTGCACCCAATAAAGATGACTTTGAATGTCTCTGTTTTGCACTGTCATTCTGCAGGAGAAGAGAGGGCCGTGTGACAGGTGGAGAGAGCTGGCCCAGGCTCAACCAGTCGTCCTACACCTGGAGCTTACACGGTTCTTACCACACTGGTGTTCTATCGAAACGTCCTGGATAATCCATCCTTGGATAAATGTAAAGTCATTGGTTTAGAATGCTCCAAGCTGGAAGATTTAACACTGCTACAATTATTTATTTATTTATTATTTCAATTTCTATACCGCTCCATCCCTGAGGCTCTGAGCGGTTTACATGGAGATTTATACTTCCTAGCTAGGGCCACACTGAATGGGGGAAGTGAGTGCCTACCAGGCCCCCTGCCGGCTTGTTGTTCTTCTGCGTCTCTTCTTTCGTTTTCCCTTCTGCTACGGTGTCTCGGCATGGTCCGGCCCGGCGTGGTGTTGCTTTTTATTACTTTTTCTGTGAGCTAAACTCCTTAACTTGCATACTCCCTGAAACTTCACAACACACATTTAGTTTAGTCATGGTACACACCTCTGTTTTGACTCAATTTTATCTACCTTTTCATTAACTATTCACACAATATTAAATGAAACTTATTAGCTGTATTATTCAATATTTCGTTTCGGGTCAACTTTGGACCTCTTATCTGGTTGTTCTTCCGATGTTCTGATTATTATTGTTATATTAATATGTTGACTATACTGTCTTAGTAATATCTCCCGTGCTACATACTATGTTGATCTCGTTATTGTGTAATCACCACTTTATTTGTTACCTCAATAATTATTACATTCAATAAAATTTAATTTTTTTAAAAAAACACTGCTACAGGAACCTCATGTGGGAGATTTAAACTGTTATAACTGCCAGGCTTCCAAGCTGAGTGGCAACTTCAGAGAGAGAAGACTGGTCACATGTCTGGGTAGATGTGCTTGCCATGCACAGAGCGCACTGCAGAAGCCTACCCACTGTGACAGATCAATGCACATTGAAGTGGTCATGTGAGAACACTTTGGGGATCCTGAAGGTTTGGTTTCACAGGCAAGAGTGCAGAACTGATCTTTTAACATATATGGCACAACGTAAGTATGTTTGGGATTAGTAGCAGATATTTTTTAAAAAACACAAAACCCCCTTGTGGCGTTCTCTCTTTAGGGAGGACTGTTTTTCCTTTTAAATGTGCTCTTTGCTTTATTAAACTGGGTAGATTCGGCTGCCACCAGGAATTTAAGGATTTCCAAACCTTTTCTCTGTACCTCTTTCTGGTAAAGTAACCCAGGGTCTAGGCCAGTGGTGGCGAACCTATGGCACGGGTGCCAGAGGTGGCACTCAGAGCCCTCTCTGTGGGCACGCGTGCCATCGCCCCAGACCATCATTAAAGTGTCAAATTCTCTGCCAAATAATTTTAAGTAAATGAAAGCATTTGGGATTGCTTTCCTTACTTTGTTTGGATCATCTTAAGTTAATGTATGAGTTGTTTTTTCCGCTCAGTATTCAGGTTAAATTACCGTGTTGGCACTTTGCGATCAATAAGTGGGTTTTGGGTCGCAGCTTGGGCACTCGGTCTCTAAAAGGTTTGCCATCACTGGTCTAGGCTTTTCAGGGATCTATGTGGTCCTGAGGAAGGACTGAATTCAATTCTGGGGTAACGTAAACAAAAGATGATTTATTGAACTAAGAACAAAATATGAGGTTGGTTATTTTGTAAGTGTTCAGGATAAAGGGACTTGCAGATATGTTGTTCAAATGTATCACACACACAGCCTTTTTCCCCCTTTACTCTTTCTTCATCACTCCTGGCCTCAGATATAATCATGAGAAAACCACCAGGCAACAGGAACGATTCCGGACTACAGGCAGGCCTGATCTGGCACAGAGGCCAAGATCTGAAGTGTCCATGTCTGTCCCTGACTTTCAGGCCCACTGAACAATTAAGCTTCAGGTTATAGCCAAGGGAGGCCTACAGCCTCTTGTTGCAGACAAGGGGACAGTCACAGGAAGGCATAGCTGCTCTCTCAGAGTCCCGGGGGTTGCTGAAGAAAGCGGGATGCCTCAGGTCCCTGGGAACACGCCCCAGGTTCCATGCAAAGCACAGGACCAGGTATGCAGGAGAGGGTCTCAAGGTCAACCCCAGGCAGTTTCCCTTACGTGAGCCCAGCCAGGAGAGACCTCGGCAGAGCGACTGCTGGCTGAAGTTGAGAACGCTGGCCAGGGGAGATCGGTGGCCCCACTATACGGAAGGCAGCATTCTCGGGCCCACTCTTTGTTCAGAGGAATTACTGTACAGCCCACCCACCCCCACCCCAGGAAAGAGCAGTACAGAAAGAGTTTGCAGCAAGCCTGGTTTTTGTGTGTGTGTGTCTGCCGTGTAAAGGTTTTTAAAAAGAATCTCACTGGGAGGAAGGCAAGCTTAGCTTTTTAGTTAATGGAGTGCCTGAGGAATTGGCTCCCCTCCCCCCAGAACCAAGGTATAGTGCAAAACAGCCAAGTTGCTACTACAGAAAATGAGTCACCCCCCCAGAAGAAGACCTCCAAGATGCTAGCCCGGCATCACTGCTGTTAACGCTGAATGGTTTGTTGAGAGACTGGTACTATGCCCCTGACCCGATGCCACAGCGGGCACTCCAAGGACATCCATAAGAACATAAGAGAAGCCAATGTTGGATTAGGCCAATGGCCCATCTAGTCCAACACTCTGTGTCACACAGTGGCCAAAAATACCAGGGGTCATCAGGAGGTCCACCCGTGGGGCCAGGACAGTAGAAGCCCTCCCACTCTTGCCCCCCCACAAGCACCAAGAAGACTCTTGCCCCAGACCAAGAGTTCCTCTCTATACCTTGTGGCTAAGAGCCACTGATGGATCTCTGCTCCATATGTTTATCCAATTCCCTCTTGAAGCTGTCCATGCTTGTAGCCGCCACCCCCTCCTGTGGCAGTGAATTCCAAGTTTTAATCACTCTCTGGGTGAAGAAGTACTTCCTTTTATCTGTTCTAACCCGACTGCTCAACAATTTCATGGACTGCCCATGACTTCTTGTATTGTGAGAAAGGGAGAAAAGTACCTCTTTCTCGACCTGCTCTATCCCACGCATAATCTTATAAACCTCGATCATGTCACCCCTCAGCAGTCGTTTTTCCAAGCTAAAGAGCCCCAAGCGCTTTAACCTTTCCTCATAGGGAAAGTGTTCCAACCCTTTTATCATCCTAGTTGCCCTCTTCTGCACTTTTCCCAATGCTAATATCCTTTTTGAGGTGTGGTGACCAGAACTGTACACAGTACTCCAAATGAGGTCGCACCATCGATTTATACAGGGGCATCATGATACTGGGGACTTTTCGTTAAAAGGAAGCGCATACGCCAAGTCAGTCACTCACCTGGGGCGAGGAAGGCGCTCTTCAGCACTAAGGACACAGTTTCCGGCTTTGGAGCAGGCACCAGCTTCTGTGGCTTTTTGGGCCGAGTCCTGGCGCTGGCCAAGGGGAGCGCAAAGGTGCCCTGGGGCTGCAGCAGAGGCTGCCCCTGCGCGACCGCAGTCTGGAGAGTCAGGTTGCAAGGCACGCACGCCCCTGGCTGCTGGGTGCCCAGGAGGCCGCTCTGGCTGTGGCTGAAGGTGGTGGCGGGAACGTTGTGCGTGGGGGTGGCGGAGGCCGTGTGGGTGATGACGGAGGATTTGCTGAGCCCCAGCTTCGGGGCCTCCAGTGACGCAAACAAGGGCACCTGAGAGGGCATCCCAGTGTCCAGCGGCAAGGCGCCCTGCTGCGAGGGCTGGAGCAGCGGCACCAGGGCCGGGAACGAAGGCAGGAACGGCTGCGGCCCGCTCAGGGGCGGCTCGGCGGTGAAACCTGGCGTCTGCAGGAAGGGGCCTCCGGTCCTCAGGCCCAGGTCAGCGCCGACATCGGCCATGCCGGGAATGGTGGAGGCAGGCACTGTAGCGCCAACGAGCCCTTCGCTGAGGTTCACAGGCGGGAGCGGGTTGGCCAAAGGCCCCGAGGACAGCCCTGCAGTCTGGAGAGAGAGACAGAGAGAGAGAGTGAAACAGAGTAGGAAGGCTGACGTGAGGCAAGATCTTTTGTGCCTCCAAGGTAGAGACTAGAGATGTAAAATTTGCGGAAATTTTGAAGCTCGGAAAAAAACCCGTTTTCCCTCCGGGTTTTTTCGGGGAAAACAAATTTTTTGAAAAATTGAAAAAATGCTACATTAGCATTTCTTTTGTCTTTTCTAGATTGAAAGTCATTCTGTTACTTTAGGAACATAAAATATGACTATGGACATTTTTACTTGGCATGAAATTATCACAACTAGCATATTAAAAATATAGTGTATCCAAACAATTATTACAAACAGAATACCCACCCACATGCAAAAACAAAACTGAAACCTTTTTATTGTCTTCTGACAATAGCACCTCCTAAAGGAAGAAATGCATCTTGTTCTTGCATTGGAGAGTTCAGTTTGTAACCTAGGACTTGCTTGTCCTCAGTGCACAGAAATTAGATCAATCTGATACCATATATCAGATTTTATTTATATATATATAAATAAAAGAAATGATTTGGAAAATATGTGAACACCTTGTCTTAAAATATTTTATTCTTCATGTTAAAATGAAACATTCCATAATCAATTTTTTCCCTTTTCTTTTCTTTTTTCAATTTTTCAGAAAAAAACAAAAAGGCTTCAGGAAAAAAACGCAAAAAACCTGGTTTTTTTCCGAATTTTTCCGGGTTTTATCTGGGCCTTCACATCTCTAGTAGAGACAAGCCTGAGAAGACCCAGACCTGTCTCAGCCTAATTCCTCTCCTTGCACATAACTCCACAAAAACTACAGCCCCTGGCAATGCCCCCTCTAAGCTGTGGAGTCTTATGAGCAAACATTCGACTTTGTGAGCGACTGGTATTTAAAGTTGTGAGTGAGCGGTTTGGCTGCTGCATAAATTAGTTTGCTCTGGAACCATTCTTCCTGAGTGAAGACAAAAATGTGTGAGCTGGAGGCTAAATAGCTGTGAGGTAGCTCACACTAACTCGGCTTAGACGGAACACTGGCCCCTGGACTTTTTTATTACCAGCCTGCCTACTAAAATATAATTCGCTCAGTAATTACTGCCAGTGGGGATGTGGACCAACAAGACCCAGGTTCAAGTCTCTGGCTTGGCTACTGGGCCAATCTCGGCCAATTACCATCTCTTTGGACTCATGGGATCGCTGCACAGATAAAGTGGAGAGTGGAGAACCACATCCGCTTCCCTGAGGGGAAGCTGGAATACAAATGCTGCAAAAAAATAAATAACCTCAGGCCCCTCTTGGAGCCTGAAGGAAATTCACCACTAGTTCTTCCAATTTACAAAAGCTTCCTCGTCTGGTTATAACTCGCCATAGGCGACCACAGCTAGAAATAAAAATCCTCATCTTCCACAGAGGCGCATGCAGTAAAAATGTGCAATTATCCAAACCCAAGAGGGATATGCAGTGTTTCTGTCTTCTGGAAACTATGGAAGAAGAGAAACTCGAGGTCCTGTTGGCTCAGAGTTACACTAAAGGCATGTTCAAAATCAGATAACTGTAGGAAGTCCACTGCAAAGTTATAAAAATATTGATCTGTTTATAGTCTAACAGTCCAGAGATCATACAACCTCGCGTCTGGGAATCCTCCTTACCTGGGAAGGATGGCTGCAGGTGTCTGCCATGATGGGACTGGGAGCAGGAACCGTGGGGATGGGATAATTATTGGAACGGTTGGAGGAGAAAAGATCTGAAGAAAGACCGAAAAAGTTGTGTACAGGGTATTACAGTCGAGTATCACAGACCCTGGCTGCCCAAATTCATCTTCTAGCTGCACTTTGTTAAATTCTGATAATAAAGCGGAAAGCGTTCATGGCACACGAAGGATATATGAGAGAGGGGGGGGAGGAGGGAGGGAGAGGGGGAGGGAG